TAATTAAATTTTTATGAAGAATTTTATCAAAATTTAAAAAAATAATTGAATTCTTTCGGCGAATTTAAAAAAAAAACTTAAAAATAAATGCAATTTGCTATGATTTTCTTTAAAAATTGTATAAAAAATAATTGAAATTCCACGATAAGTTTTGTTATTTATGAAAATAATTAAATTCTTTGCCACGAATTTTATTAAAAAATCTTTTAAAGAATTTAATTCAAATTTTTTAAAATAATTTGAATTTCTCAGAATTTTTGAAAATGATTAAATTCTATCCAGAAATTTAATAAAAAAAATTTAAATAATTGAAATCTGTCAAAGAATTTTATTAAATTTTTTTTTAAATAATATTGAATTTCTGTGAAAAAGTTTACTTTTGAAAAAAACTTAAATTCTTGTCAAGAATTTTATTAAAATTTCTTAAATAATTGTATTGCTTCGAAAAAGAATTTTTTACGAAAATAATTGTATTGATCAATTTTATTATAATTTTTCAAATTTATAAAGCATTTTATCAAAATTTTTTAAAATAATTAAATTCTCGAGAAAAAATTTATTATTTATAAAAATAATTGATTTCTTGAGAAGAATTTTATTAACTAAATCTTGTAAAGAATTTTGTCAATATTTTTTTAAATAATGGAATTGTTAACAGAATTTTATTTAAATTTTTCGAAATAATTGAATTTCTCAGAACTATTTTTTTCACAAGTCTCTGAATATATTTGAATTCTTTCGAGAAACTTCATTAAAAAATTAAAAATAATTGAATAGGTGCGAAGAAATTTATAAAAAATTGGCAAGCAATTAAATTCTTGTGGAATTTTTATTAAAATTTTGTTTATATAATTGAATTCTTTTGGAAAATTTTATTAAAATCGTAGATTTTAAAAATAATTGAAATGAGGAAATTTTTTGAAAATAATTGAAATTTTGCCAAGAATTTTATTAAATTTTTTGAAAATAACTGAATTTCGGAGAAGAATTTTATTATTTATTATGATAATTTAAATTTTGACAAGAACTTTTAAAAATTATTTAACATAATTGAATTTATGCGAAGAAGTTTATCACTTTTGAAAATAATTGAATTTCAGTAATCAGTTGTTCTTAAAATTTTTATTTAAATTCATTAAAAATTGATATTTACTAAAATTTAAAATTGAATCCTGCCAAGTTCATCTATTTATGAAGATTGTAAACGCAACCCTTTTGAAATTTAATTAATTTTGAAATTTTTAAGTATAATTAAGAATTAAATTATTTAAAAAGAAATTATTCTTAGAAATAGGAAAAAAAAATTAAAGGTTTTGTATTAGAATTCGTGGCATTTTCATAGTTTATGAGGCAAAGCAAACAGAAATACTGAAAAATATACAAAAGAAAAATAGTCATTTGATTAAATTGTTTGACACAAAATCGAAATTTCAAAGAGGGAAAATAAGATTAAATATCTTTTTCTTTTTATCATTTCGGTATTTGCGCAAACTCTCTTTTTATAGTTGTACATTTTCCGAACATTATCCGACAGGAAACACGAATCTATCGTTGGGGAGGTTACTCCCTCTTGGGAATTTGAGACATATGTGATTTTTATTTTTTCGAATATTTCTCCTTTTTCAAATCCAACTTCTTCCTTTTTTATTCCATCTCTTTCCGCATCAATCAATTTCTAATTTCGAAAAAAATTTTCTCCAATAAAAATAAAATATAGTTTGACAAAAAAAAACACGCAATAAACTTATTCATATTAAAAATTAACCTTTTTTCTCCATTTTAGAAAAGAAAAATAATTTCTGTCTTTTCTTTTTCCCAACTATATTAGGGAAATTCTTGTCTATATACCAAGGAATTGAAAAATGATTCTTTAAATTTATTCAGAGAGAAAATTTTCCTTTTTATCATCAATGTAAACTTGAAATGCATTTTTATTTCGCCGACTGAAAAATGGATTTCTTTACTTTTTCCTATACGAAGAGACGCATCTTGTCTATTTTAAGGGGAGAAAAAAAAGGGAAAACTTGTTCTTTTTTGTATCTCTTTTTGTGCATGATCAAAAACATTGAAATAAAAATTGTTCCTCTCAGTCGATTTCCTCTTTCAAATTGAAAACTCATTCAATTGCAAATTTTTGACAATTCTGACAATTATTATCTGATTGAAGATGGAAAACATGACGCGCTCCGAAGAACGGTACCTGAGAAGCAAATAATTTTAGGTTTTTAGTTTTATAATTAAAGTGGAAACAGAAAATTGAGACAAAAATAATACAAACTTAACTTTACATAATTATTTCCTTTTTATTTTTAGTCAAATTTTCCCTACATTTTATCTTCCAAAAATTAATTAAAAATTAATTTAAAAAAAAATTTGTTTAAATTAAAAAAAAATTAATTAATTTACAAAATTATTAACAATTCTGTAAAATTAATTTTTGGAAGAGAAAATGTAGAGAAAATTGTTAAATGCAATTTGAATCCTTTTCAAAATTCAATTATTTCTAAAAAAATTCTATAATGCTTTTAATAATTGAATAATTAGCAACTAAAAATATATTTAAAAAAATTCAATTGATTTTTCAAAAAAAACTAAGTTTTTTAAAATTTCTCATTAAATTCATTAAAAATTTTAATTATCTTAAATTTCAAACTGAAACCTTTTTAAAATTCAATTATTTCTAAAAGTTGCAAATTTTTGTAATTTCTCCAAAATTCAATTATTTTCTGAAATTTTTAACCAAAAATTCTTCTCTAAATCAATTATTTTTAATAATTGAATAATTAATCCTAAGTAAAAATATATTAAAAAATAATTAAATTAGAGAAGAATTTTACTATTTATAAAAATAATTGAATTGTTTCGAAGGATTTATTAAAAATTTAGAAAATAATTGAATTCTTTCGTGAAATTTTACTGTAAATAATTGAATTTTTGCAAAGATTTTACAATTTTTAAAAAGTAATTTAATTGTATAATGAAATTATTTAAAAATTTTGTTAAAAATAATTGGATTTTTTCAAAAAAATTTAATATTTAATTTATAGAAATAATTGAATTCTTCTGAAGTTTTTAATTTGAAACATTTTCAAAATTCAATTATTTTTAAAAATTGCTATTATTTGCTACTTCTTCTAAAAAATTAATTATTTTTTGGAATTTTTAACTAAAAATTCTTCTCTAAATCAATTATTTTAAATAATTGAATAATTAATCCTAAGTAAAAATATATAAAAAAATAATTAAATTAGCGAAGAATTTTCCTATTTATAAAAATAATTGAATTGTTTCGAAGGATTTATTAAAATTTTAGAAAATAATTGAATTCTTTCGTGAAATTTTACAGTAAATAATTGAATTTTAACAAAGATTTTACTATTTTAAAAAGATAATTCAATTTTTTAATGAAATTTTTTTTACATTTTATTGAAAATAATTAAATTTTTGCAAAAAAAATTAACTATTTAATTTATAAAAATAATTGAATTCTTCCCAAGTTTTTAATTTGAAACATTTTCAAAATTCAATTATTTTTAAAAATTGTTATTATTTGTTAGGTACTTCTTCTAAAAAATCAATTATCTTTTGGAATTTTTAACTAAAAATTCTTTTCTAAATCAATTATTATTTATAATTGAATAATTAATCCTAATTTTAAAAATATTAAAAAATATTTGAATTTTTTCAAAGAATTTTACTATAATAAAAATAATTTAATTGTTTCGAAGGATTTATTAAAGTTTTAGAAAATAATTGAATTCTTTCGTGAAATTTTATTGTAAATAATTGAATTTTTGCAAAGATTTTACAATTTTTAAAAAGTAATTCAATTGTTTAATGAAATTTTTTTTTACATTTTGTTAAAAATAATTACATTTTTGCAAAAAAATTTACTATTTTTATTAATAAAAATAATTGAATTCTTCCGAAGTTTTTAATTTGAAACATTTTCAAAATTCAATTATTTTGAAAAAAAATTGAATTGTTACAAAGAATTTCATTAAAGTTTTTGAAAATAATTTAATTCTTTGAAAAAATTTAATTAAAAATGTTTTTAAAATAATACTTAAATTGAATGTTTCGTAAAATTCTAATTCCTACGGAAAAATAATAATTATTAAATATTTATTTAAAAAGGAAGTTATTTACGTCTTTGAATAAATTTACAATTGAAGAAATTCGTAAAAATATATGTCAATAAATTTTGATTGACTGAAAAAAGAATTAGGGAAAAATAAAAAGAAATTTTTTTTTGACGACCCTGAAAAAAATAAATTTTGAAAACATTAAAATTCTGTTCACAATTTATTTACTCATAGTAAATAATCGTTAATTTTGATGGGAAATTCTTTTCAGTCAATAAATTTTGATTGACGGCTGAAAGAAATAATTTTTTTCAAAACCTTTTTTTTTTCATTTAAAAATACTTTTATATCGATTGGCTTGCGAGAGAAAAAATTAAAGTTTAATTAAAAAATTGCCGCAAGAATTCGAGAGGGCGGGGAAATGAACAAAATTCCATTCATGAATTAGCAGATGTTTTCGTTTGAGTATAATAGCTGAGGCTTGAGTGAAATTATTGTGGGTGGATTTTAATGGCGTAGGATGTGTTTTTTCCTCACTAATTCACGTCATGACTTGATCGATCACTTTCACACTAAACACCCATCAATACATAAAAAAAGGAAAAAAAGGGGAAAAAATAATAATTGGATAATAGTGGATAAAAATTTTACGAATGCATAAAAATACGGAATATTGAGAGAAACGAAAGTAATTTTTCGAGAAAAAAAATTCGAAAAATCCACAGACAATTAAATGTAAATTGTTTCACTATAATTTCTATATTTTTATCAAAAAAAATTCTATTCAGCGAAGAGAGCGTTTAATTAATTTGTCTCTTTCAATATTCTCCAATTTAGAGGTAAATTTTTTGAAAATGAATTTTTCGTTTTTGAAAAATATTTTTGATATTAATTTTTCGTTTTTTCTTGTTACAGAGGTCAAAATGGAACTGGAAGATCTGATGGCTGACATTAAGAAAACAGCGAATAAAGTTAGGGCAAAGTTAAAAGGTATCGACTATTTATTTTTATCTTGAATTTATTCAGACCTCGGATACACATTTTTGGACTTTTTTCAACTATATTTTCGAAAAAAGCAATTTTTTCTACTTTTTTCAACTATTTTCGAAAAACAGCAATTTTTTCGTCTTCTTTCAACTATTTTAGAAAAAAAGCAATTTTTCTACTTTTTTCAACTATTTTCGAAAAAAGCAATTTTTTCAACTTTTTTCAACTATTTTCGAAAAAAAGCAATTTTTTCGACTTTTTTCAATTATTTTAAAAAAAAAAAGCAATTTTTTCGTCTTCTTTTAACTACTTTCGAAAAAAAGCAATAATTTTTTTCGACTTATTTTCAACTATTTTCGAAAAAAGCAAATTTTTTCGACCTATTTTCAAAAATTGAGACTTTTTCAGTGAAAAATATAAACAAAACTTTCAAAAATTATTTTTCAATAATCTTTATAATTAAATTTCCAAAATATACAATTAAAAAGATTTTTGAATAATTGCAATTTTGTAAAATTTAATTCAAAATAATTGTTTTTTTCAAGTGTTTTATTACAATTTTTGAAAATCAACTTTTTAAAAATAATAATTGAATTCTCAGAAACATTTCTTTCAAATATAAAAAATATCAAATTTTTCGTATAAATTACAAATTTTTCAATTTTTCAAAAATTATTTTCGCATAATTTTTCTAATTAAATTTTCGAAATATACAATCAACTAGATTTTTAATAATTGAAATTTTGTAAAATTTAATTAAAAATAATTGATTTTTTTTTTTCAAGAATTTTATTACAATTTTTGAAAATCAACTTTTTAAGAATTTTAAATGCATAAAATTTGAATTCTCAAAATCTTTTCTCTTTTAAATATTGCAACAAAATACCAAAATTTTTGTTATAAATTGCAAATTTTTTCAATTTTCACAGTACGAAAAATGACTTGAGACAAATTTTTCGAAAATTATTTTCGAATAATTTTTCTAATTAATTTTTCGAAATATACAATCAACTAGATTTTTAATTATTGAAATTTTGTAAAATTTAATTGAAAATAATTGATTTTTTTCAAGAATTTCATTACAATTTTTGAAAATCAACTTTTAATGAATTTTAATTGCCCAAATTTTGAAAATAATTTAATTCTCGAAAATTATTAAAAATAATTGAAAATAATTGATTTTTTTCAAGAATTTTATTAGGTACAATTTTTGAAAATCAACTTTTGAAGTATTTTAATTGCGCAAATTTTGAAAATAATTGAATTCTCGAAGAATTATTTTAGAAAATAATTGATTTTTTTTCAAGTATTTTATTACAATTTTTGAAAATCAACTTTTGATGAATTTAAAATTTTGAAATTTTGAAAATAATTGAATTCTCAGAAACTTTTTCAGAAAATTATTAAAAATAATTGAAAATAATTGATTTTTTCAAGTATTTTATTACAATTTTCGAAAATCAATTTTTGAAGTATTTTAATTGCGCAAATTCGGAATATAATTGAATTCTCGAAGATCTCTTTCAGAAAATTATTAAAAATAATTGAAAATAATTGATTTTTTTCAAGTATTTTATTACAATTTTCGAAAATCAACTTTTGAAGAATTTTAAATGCTTAAATTTTGAAAATAATTGAATTCTCAGAAACTTTTTCAGAAAATTATTAAAAATAATTGATTTTGAGTTGAAGTTCAGTTAAAAATTGTAGAAAATAATTGAATTTTGAAATATTTTTAATTTTTCGAAATTATTTAATTTTAGAAAGTTTTAAATTGAAAAATTAAAAATTATTTTTTTCTCGTGGAAAAACAAATAAGAATCATTTAAATATTTATTCAACAAAATTATTTAATTTTTGAATATTTGAATTCTTAGAATTTTCTTAATTCTAATTCTTTAAAATTCAATTATTTTTCCTGTTTTCAATTACTCCAAAAATTCTAATTCGTACTAAAAATTACAGTTTTTAGAATTTTTTTTTTTTTTTTTTTTTGCTCTTTAAAGTCGATCCGAGGTCTGATTATTTTATTCTTCAATTACATAATTAAGTTCCTAGTAAATTTGCTGCACTGGAAAAAAAAATTCAATTCAATAATCAATTACTATTTATCAAATAAATATTTACTGGAATCAAATAATTTTTATTTAAATCAAATTGTATATTTAAAAGTTGAATTTGGACCAATTTATTTATTGTATTTAAAATTTTTTAAAGCAAAATTTTTTTGAAGCAAAATTTCTTTGAAGCAAATACATAATTGATAGAAATAAAAATTATTTGATACAAGTATTTTTTGTTTTTTGTTTTTTATTTGATAATAGACAGGATAATGGACAAGTATTTTAGTCAAATTAATTTTCATAATAAATAGAAATAAATAGATCATAATAAATAGTAAAGATATTTTTTATTTCTGAAGGAAGAAGAATTTTTTTTTTTCTGAAACAATTGACTAATAATTGTTTTTTTTCCGTTTTTAGTAATAGAGCAAAACATCGAGCAAGAGGAGCACACGAACAAATCGTCGGCAGATCTTAGGATACGCAAGACACAACACTCGACGTTGTCTAGGAAATTCGTCGAGGTGATGACAGAGTACAATCGGACGCAGACTGATTATAGGGAGCGGTGTAAGGGGAGAATACAACGACAACTTGAAATTAGTAAGCGACTTGATTCACCCCCAATTTTACGCAAGTGGCAATTTGTCAGTTACCACCAAAAGGATTCACTTTAGTCACAAAAGATGTCTTACTCCAAGGGGCTTTCATTTTCAGATGCATGTTCCTTCAATTTTTCTCTTTCTCTCTTTCTCTTCTTCTCAATATTTAAATTTCATTCGCATTCATATTTTCCTCTTTTCCATCATTTTTTATTCTGAAAATTTATTTTTCACTTATTTTTTTATCTCTATTATTAATTAATTTATCATTTTTATTTTTCATTTTTTATTTTTTTCTCTCTTTTTTACTCTTATTTTATTTTCTCTCTTTTACTTTGTAAATTATTTTTCCATTTATTATTTTCTTTATTTTCTTCATTTTCTTCATTTTCTTTATTTTTTTCATTTTCTCTACTATTTGTATTAAAATTACTTTGATTCGTTTCTTCAATTAATTTTTAATTTGTCCTCTTTTGGACAAATTTTTGAATTAAAAGAAAAAAAAATGTTTTTAAAGTTTCGAACGTTCAAATAAGCGACCATGTTTTTTTACTTCTTTTAATTTTAATTTTTTTTTTTAATAAAAGAAAATTATTTTTTACATTAACAATAGGATTTTTAACTAAATAATTGTACGAATTTTAATTATTCTTCTTTTTTTTGTATCAGTAATTTGGAAAAATATTTCAGAAACAAATTTCGTTGGTTTGAAAAAATTTCGTTCAAAACTTTAGAAAGATTTATTTTTCGTATTTTTATTTTTTTCTTCTCTTCTTGTTTTTATATTAATTAACAGAATTCTTAATGAAATAACTAAAATTTTAATTTCTTACTAATTTTGACCATCTATTTAATGATTTTCGAAAAATTAGTCTATTTCTCTAATGATAATAATAGAATTTTGAAAAAAGTGTAGATATTGATTAATTTTATAAATAGAAGAACTTCAAAAGGTTTCAATTTCAAATTTCGGAAGATTTCAATTTTCCGTAAATTTAATTAGAAATTTTTAAAGAAATTAGATTTTTGAAAAATTTTAATAATTCAAATTCTTATGAAATTAGTTACATTTTTTAATATATATAATATATTTAATTAATTATTAAAAATAATGGATTTATAGAAGAATTTTAGTTTAAGAAAACTAAAAAATAGAATTTTGGAGAATTTTTTTTTTATTGCAGAAATTCAATTTTTTTCAAAAGTAGTAAAATTCTTCGCAAAAATTCAATTATGTTCAAAAATTTGTTTACTTTCTCGATAAAATTTCCAATTATCTTTATAAATAATAAAATTCTTCTTCAAAAGTCAATTATTTTCAAAATTGATTTTCCAAAAGAATTCAAGTATTTCAAAAATTTTTTTATAAAATTCCACGAAAACATTTCATTATTTTCATAAAATAATAAAACTTTTAAAGGAATTCAATTATTTACAAAAATAATAAAATATCTTGGAAAAAAATTTAATTGTGTTCAACATTTTTTCTTTAATTCTCGTGAAAATTTCAATTTTCTTTATGAATAATAAAATTATTCCCTGAAAATCAATTATTTTCAAAAATTTTAATAAAATTCTAAGTAAAATTTCAATTATTTTCAAAAATTACTTTATAACGTGAATTTTTTCAAAATTTTTCAGGACCTTTGACGTAAAAATTATTAAAAATAATTGATTTATTGAAAGAATTTTAGTTAAAAATTTTAGAAAATAATTTAATTTTGGAGAAGTTACAAATAGTAACAATTTTTAGAAATAATGAAATTTTGAAAGAGTTACCAATTGAAATTTAAGAAAATTTGAATTTTTGATGAATTTAATTAGAAATTTTTAAAAACTCAATTTTTTTTTAATAATTTTAATTAGGTACAACTCTTTTGAAATTAATTGAACTTTTAATATATTTTTAATTCTTAATTATTCAATTATTAAAAATAATTTATTTAAAAGAATATTATTGAAAAATTAAAAATAATTGATTTTAAAGAAGAATTTTCGTTACAAAATCTTTAAAATAATTGAATTTTGAAAATGTTTCAAATTAAAAACTTCGAAGGAATTCAATTAATGTTATTAATTAAATAGTAAATTTTTTTTTTTTGCAAAATTTCAATTATTTTCAACAAAATGTAGAAAAAAATTTCATTAAACAATTGAATTATTTTTTTAAAATAGTAAAATATTTGTAAAAATTCAATTATTTTTATAAATATAGTAAAATTCTTTGAAAAAATTTAATTATTTTTAATATATTTTTAATTATTTAATTATTTTTAATAATTGAATAATTATTCAATTATTAAAAATAATTGATTTAAAGAAGAATTTTTAGTTAAAAATTCCAGAAAATAATTGAATTTTGGAGAAATTACAAAAACTTGCAATTTTTAGAAATAATTGAATTTTGAAAAGGTTTCAGTTTGAAATTAAAGAAAATTTGAATTTTTAATGACTTTAATTATAAATTTTAAAAAACTTAATTTTTTGAATAATTTTTAATTACAACTCTTTTGAAAGTAACTAAATTTTTAAATATATTTTTAATTATTAATTATTTAATTATTAAAATTGTGGATTTTAAAGAATACTATTAAAAATTATTGATTTAGAGAAGAATTTTAGTTAAAAATTCCAGAAAATAATTGAATTTTGGAGGAATTGCAAATAATAGATAGTAAATAATAGAAAATAATAATTTAATTTTGAAAAATGTTTCAGAAACAAATTTTGTTCATTTAAACGTTAAAAACTTTAAGAAGATTTATTTTTCTTATTTTTATTTTTTTTTTTATTTTCTTTGTTCTCTTCTTGTTTTTTTCTTATTATAATTAAAAGAATTCTTAATGAAATGACTAGAATTTTAATTTCTTAGTAAAAGAAAGTCTCTTTTTTAATGATTTTCGAAAAATTACTCTATTTCTGTAATGATAATAATGGGATTTGGAAAGAAGCGTAGATATTAATTAATTTCGTTGAATTTTCAGCGGGTAGGACGACCACTAATGAAGAACTCGAGGAAATGCTGGAACAAGGAAATCCAGCTGTGTTCACGCAAGGGGTGAGTTGTTAATGATAAGAGAAACGATTTCTCTTATCTTCAGGATCTTCTTCTTTTTTTCGTCATTTAAATCGAAATAAAGAACCAAAAGACAAAGGAGAAAAAAAGAGGTCGAAAATATGAATTTGAATTAATTAATTTTTTTTTCCTCAAATTATTTACTATTATTATTAAGGAAATTAATTAAATTTTATTTAGTGAGCACTTTCATTAATCACTAATGGTTTGAATATCTCTAATCACTAGTTTATTTAGAGTTGAAATGAATATTAAAAATTCATTAAATTAAATAAATAGAAATTAAAATTCAACTCTTATATTTTTTTTTTCTTTTTTTTATTTTAACTAAGACGATCGAGTGATTTTATTCTTATTTTTAAATAAATTTCAAATAAAATGAATAAAATGAATAAAATAAACAAATATTTATTATAAATAGAAATTGTTTCGAAAGAATTTTCATTACAATTCACTTAATTTAATAATTATTTTTTCGTGTAAATGCACCGAAAAGAAAATTTATTTGGTTAAAATAACCGATTACTAGAATATTATTAATTAAATATTTACAGAGTATCAAATAATTTTCTATTTAAATTTTCATTTATTTTTGTATCTATAAAAAAAATTTTTGCATAATGCGATCAGTAAAAAAGAAATTTTTAACAAAACATTTTATTATTAAATGTTTTTTCATTTTTGTATCTATAAAAAATTAAAAAAAGATTTTGCATAATTCGATCAGTAAAAAAGAAATTTTAAACAACATTTTATTATTTTTGTCGAGAAAAAATTTTCAAAATGTTTGTATTGAAAGTTGTAGTGTCAATTATTGTTTTGAAATTGATTAATTTTTTTTTATCGTTTCTTGGAGAATCGGGTTCATTCTATTTTATGTAATTGAACTTAATTGTGGGATTATAAAAGAAATAGAATGTGTGTGTGTGTGTGTTTTTCGAGCTCACCATCGGATTAAATATAATTAACTGGGTAATTCGATGGCTGAGTGAGAATAGAAGGATATTTTCTCGAATTAATGAAATCTATTTTGGTCTCGATTTTGAATGATAATAATGTATTTATTACAGATTATTATGGAAACGCAACAAGCGAAACAAACCCTTGCAGATATTGAGGCGCGTCACGCTGACATCATTAAATTAGAAAATTCCATCAGGGAACTTCACGACATGTTCATGGACATGGCAATGCTCGTCGAAAGTCAGGTGAATATTAAATAATTTTTCTTTTTTCATCAACGGATTTATTATTTACTTTTTCTTGTTTTTTAATTAATAATTATTTTTGTTTCTTTATTTTTTTCTATTTATTTATTTAAATAAATACAACAAATTTATTTTTGTCCTGTTTATTTATTTATTTTTCTTCTTATTAAATTTTTTTCAATTTAATTTTTGCTTTCTTTATTTTCGTTTTTTTTTATTTATTTTTTGTTCTTTTTATTTATTTTTGTTCTTTTCATTTATTTTTGTTCTTTTTATTTATTTTTGTACTTTTTCATTTATTTCTATTCTTTTGATTTATTTTTGTACTTTTTTATTTATTTTTATTCTTTTGATTTATTTTTGTTATTTTTATTTATTTTTCTTCTTTTTGATTTATTTTTCTTATTTTTATTTATTTTTCTCCTTTTTATTTATTTTTCTTCTTTATATTTATTTTTCTTCTTTTCATTATTTATTTTTCTTCTTTTTATTAAAGCGTATTTTTTGGTTTTTTCGCTTTTGGATCGCTACGAATTGATAGAAATAAAAAAAAATCCGAATTCGGAGAGGAGAGCTTCGATAAGATTTTAAATCGGTGTCTTGAATGTAAAGAGAAAAAAAGAGTGGAGAAAATCACGTAAATAATTCATGTCATGTATTTTCAGGGTGAGATGATAGATCGCATAGAATATCACGTGGAACACGCAGTGGATTACGTTCAAACGGCCACACAGGACACCAAAAAAGCACTCAAGTATCAAAGCAAAGCCCGACGGGTGAGTCATTCAGGAACTAATAACTCTTGTATTTGTTCACATTTAATTCATCACTTTTTCTTTAGCCCCCCCTTCTCTCTTTCTCTCCTCATATTGAAAATTTCGAAGTATGACTTCAACTACAAAGTCGGAATTACTTTTTTTATTCTAATTTCCAAAATCAGGGTTGCCACAAGTCGGGGGAAGTCAGGGAATTCAGGAAAAAATCAGGAGAAGTAAAATTGATCATTGGAAAAGTCGGGGAATTTTGCCAAAAACTACTGGAAAAAAAAACTTCTGGAATTTGTGAGAAAATTCAGAATTTTTATGTCTTTTCAAAATATTGTTATTGTCGTTTCAAAATATTGAAAAGATTTAATTTAATTTTTAATTCATTTCTATTTTCTATAATTGAACTTTACGAATTTGGAATTGAATCAAAATTTAAAAAAAATTCAATTTTAAATCAAATTCTTCAAAACAATTCAATTATTTTGAAAAAAAAAATAAAATTCTGATCACGAGAATCAGTTATTTACAAATTTTAATAAAATTTCTTGTAAGAATTCAATTATTTTTCATAAATATTTATAAAATTCTGGCGCATTGTTTTCAGTAGAATTTTCATTAAATTCGTCGAAAAAAGTGTGCAAGAATTCAATTATTTTCAAGAATTATTATTATTATTTTTATATTTTAATTAAAAATATTCACTAAAATTCAATTATTTTCAAAAATTTTAATAAAATTGATCGAAACAATTCAATTATTTTTAAAATTTTTTAATAAAATTGCTCGCGACAGTTCAATTATTTTTATAAAATTCTTCATAAGAATTAAAATTCAATTATTCTCAATACAGTTTTAATTGAGTTCCTCAAAAGAATTTAATTATTTTCATAAAATTTCCATAAAATTCTAAAAAATAATTCAATTATTTCAAAAAAAAATAAAATTCTTAGCACGAGATTCAGATATTTTTTAATTTCAATACAATTTTAATAAAATTTCTCGGAGGAATTCAAAATTATTTTTAATAAATTTTTACTAAATTTAATATAAGATTTGAAATTATTTTCAATACAATTTTAATTAAATTCGTCGAAAAAATTTACAAGAATTCAATTATTTTCAAAAAAATAAATAAAATTCTTCGCAGAAATTCAATTATTTTCAAAAATTTTTATAAAATTGCTCTAAACAATTCAATTATTTAAAAAAAATTTTTTTTATAAAATTCTTCATAAGAATTAAAATTCAATTATTCTCAATACAGTTTTAATTGAGTTTCTCAAAAGAATTTAATTATTTTTATAAAATTTTCTTAAAATTCATCAAAACAGTTAAATTATTTTCAAAAATTTTAATAAAATTCTTAGCACGAGGTTCAGTTATTTTCAAATTTCAATACAATTTTAATAAAATTTCTCGAAAGAATTCACTTATTTAGAAAGAAAATTATAAAATTCTATTGAATTGTTTTCATTACAATTTTAATTAAATTGGTAAGAAATTCAATTATTTTCATACTTACAACAAAATTTTTCGCACAAATTCAATTATTTTCTAATTTTCAATATAATTTTAATAAAATTTCTCGTAAGATTTCAATTATTTTTTATAATTCTATATAAGAATCCAATTATTCTCAATTAAGCATCTATAATTGAATTCTTCAAAAGAATTCAATTTTTCAATTACTCACAAAATTTCCATAGAATTCTCCAGACAAATTAAATTATTTTCACAAATTTCAATAAAATTTTATGTAAAAATTCAATTTTTTTAGATTCAAAATTATATAAAGTGGCAAAAATTAATATTAAAAATTATAAAAAATTTTTAATTTTTTAAAATAAGAAAAATGTTATTTTTTTAAATAAGAAAATGTTATTTTTTAAAATAGGAAAAAATGTTACCTTTTAACGCAAAATTGTGTAAGAAAAATTAATTTCTAGATTTTTTTTTGCAATAATATTATCACAAAACTTATTCTCTGATTTTGAGTAAATAAAAATTTTGATTTAAATTTTTAATTTTAAATTAAAAATTAAAAAAAAATTTTAAATAAATTAATTAAAAAAATTAAAACAAAAGTGATAAGAAATTCTGAAAATTATTTTTTTTTCGATTCTACATATAGAAATTTTTTCTTCTTTAAATTTTTTCATCTCAAGGAAATTTCTCAAAAAATTGTGTTAAAAATAATTGAATTAGTGTGATGAAATTTTAATTGAAAATTCTAGAAAATGATTGAATTGAAATTTTGAAATTAATTTTTGATAAATTACTGTAGTAATTCTTATGAATTATTGAATTTCAAAGGAAATTTATTAAAATCTCTTAATTCATATGGAAAAATAATAAATATTTATTTAAAAAAATAAAGTTGTTTAATGTTCCGAATAATTTTACAATTAAAGATACTTAAAAATAAATTTTTTTTATACATTTTTTTCTGTATCTAATTATTATTTTTAGATCGGAATTAAAATACCTAGTTTTGGGGAAAAAATCAAAGTTCTGTCTAGAAATCAGGGAAACGTCAGGAAAAAGCGAAAATAAATTTTTGTGGCAACCCTGAAAATCAATAATCGAGTCACTCTTTTTTGATTGCTGTCTCTTGACTTTCTTTCAATTTCAAAAGTTTCTTTAATAAATTTATTTATTTAATAAATGATTTATTATTCAATAAATCATTTGTTATTTAATAAATATACATAATTTCATATTTAATTACTATTTAATTCTTATTTACGAAAATTTAAAAAAAACTTTATTTTCATCATTCTGTATTCTCATCATCATTGTTATCTCGAAATAAAAAAAAAGAATTTAAAAATGTGTGACCAAATTGATGAAATCTAGAAAAAAGAATGTTTTTGAAAGACAAAAATCATTTGTTAAAAATAGCATTCCTTTTTATTTTTGCTTAATTTGATTTTTTGTCTTTTCAAACTATTTCTTTTTCGATTTTTTCAAAAACCGGACGCATTTGTAATTTAAATTCCTGACGAATTTGTCTTGTGAAACAGGTTTCTCTTTTTTTTTTGCATCATAGCAAGTTACAAAAATCGTCAAGACGATTCGCTTTTTGCCATCGAATCGATGCTTACGTCAACATACTACTAATCCTTTCTTTCTTTTTTTTTTTTTGACTAATATTGTTTTTGTTTTTTGTAAATTAAAATTTATTCTTAATTTTCTCTGCCCACCATCAAACCCCCACAAAACTAATCATTATAAAAACTGCCATAAAATTCAGTGTGCCTCGTCTCTTAACATGGGTGTGCTGATTGTGCCTCTGTCCACTATTGCTCTAACTTTACAAAACCGCTATTAACTATTTTAACTTAAATAATTGTTTAAACGTCGTTTTTGTCTTCTGTGTACATTTTTTATGTGATGTGCAATTTTTGCAAAAATTCCTCACCTCTACTTCTACACACTCTTGTACATATAAAAAAAAGAAACAAAATAATTTTCTTTTTCTTTATAAAAAAAAAAACAAGGTTTCTTCTTTTATTTGTAAACAATTTTTTTTTTTTTTGTTACAAATAAAAATATATTATTTTTAGGTTTTTTTTTAATTTTATTTTTATTTTTGAATACTGCTCGTGTATATTAAGTCTACAATATTGTACTCGACGTTTTTGTGTGTTTGGTGTCGTAATTTTTATGGCGAGCCGTTTTTGTTTTTTTTTTTTTTTTGTGTATATTGTTAAAAGTTGTGAGCGTACGTGAGTGTAACACTCTCGTTCTATATGTCAATCCACCGAATGCATCTTACAAAATTTTGATATATTTATGAAATTCTATGAAAAAAGGCTTTTTGGTTTTTCAATATATGTATACGATTTTTGAATTTGTATATTACGCACGTTTCCTTATTATAATGAAAAGATTTTCATTCCCCATCGCAAACATGATTTTCCTTTAGGAGATTCCTTTCCATTGGTATATAGGTTGAACTTATGGACCGGAGAAAACAGACTATCGACTTTAAATCGGGTTTAGCGATGAACCAGTTGTCCGATGACCTTGTGTCTAATCATTTCAATCAATTTGTTTCTGAAAAGAAAGAAGTAATTAGAGAAGTTGATGAAATTTCTTTCAAGGTAACATTATTAATGAGAGATTCACTGTTTCCTTTTCTTTTCTTTTTTATTTTTATCCGCGGATACGAAATTTTTTTCTTTTCGACATTTTTCATATTTCTGAAGAATTTTTTGTTTCAGGGTTGCCACAGGTCTGGGAAATTCAGGGAAAAGTCAGGGAAAGTAGAATTGATCAGGAAAATCAGGAAAAAAATTCAGAAAATTTTATTAAAAGTAGTGGAAAAAATTAAATTTTTAGAATTTATGAGAAAATTCTGAATTTTATTGTCTTTTTTATTTTCCTCATAAATTATGAAATTTCCACGAATTTTAATATACAATATATTTAATTAATTATTAAAATTTATGGATTTATAGAAGAATTTTAGTTCTAAATACAAAAGAAGAATTGAATTTTGGAGAATTTACAAATGATTGCAGAAATTCAATTATTTTCAAAAGTACCTTATAAAATTCTTCACAAAAATTCAATTAAATTCAAAATATTTTTTGAATTCTCGTCAAAATTTCAATAATCTTTATAAATAATAAAATTCATCTTACAAATTCAATTATTTTCGAAAAATTTAATAAAATTCTTGGCAAAATTTCAATTATTTTCAAAAAATTTTCTCATTTCAATTATTTTTAAAATCTACGATTTTAATAAATTTTTCCAAAAGAATTCAATTATTTAAACAAAATTTTAATAAAAATTCCACAGAAATTCAATTATTTACCAATTTTTTATAAATTTCTTCGCACAAATTCAATTATTTTGAATTTTTTAATGAAGTCTGTCGAAAGAATTCAGAGAACTGAAAAAAAATAGTTCTGAGAAATTCAATTATTTCGAAAAATTTAGATAAAAATTTTTTTACAATTCTATTATTTAAAAAAATTTTGACAAAATTCTTTACAAGA